AAAAATAATATTTTTGAGCTCGAAGAGCTCAAAAACGTAATGTGTAGTTTGAAGCGTTTAAGTACAAAATGAGCGGGAAGTTGCAGGGATGGCCTTTAGGGTGAACCGTTTTTCTAATTTTTTTTTTCTGAAGTTCGTGAAGCTCCCCGAGGTAAGGTCTGAAAGAGATAGAATACCTAAGAATACTGCAGAAATAAACAATCGACGCACTGAAAAAGAAATTAACTTGATTCAAGAGGAAATTTTTTGAACCAAGAAAATAATTTTGAAGAGGGCAATTCTCTAGAATCAAGACGAAAAATTCTTGAATCAAGTAAAATTTACTTAAACCAAGTAAAAATTTCTTGGTTTAAGAATTTATTTAATCAAATCAAGATATAGTTCTTCGAAATTATATACTTCATTCAAAAACATTTTTTTTTCTGTGCGGAAAATTGCAACAAATGATTTTGGGAATCTGAAAATTGAACTACGAAGGATTTGGATACTTTTACGACTAGAACGGAACTTGAATTTCGACTCGAGATGCTAGTAAAAATTAATAAAATGAGTAATTATTTTTTACTATTATTGTTATATCGTTTTTACTTGTATACCTATTGGTTTTTACAAGACTGTAACCCATATTCTCCACATTTTTGCTATTACTACAGTAATTCCACTTAAGTGTCTTTTGTGTTATTATATAGGGGAGGGGGGGGGCGAAATGGGGTGCTTAAGCAATCGTTATGATTTTAAGGACTTAAATACGCTGATTTTTTTCGTTTTCAGTCGTAATTAAAGGAAGATAATCAAATTTCAAGTTGCCGTAGAAAAAAAATTTTTTTTTTTTTTGCGGGCAAAATGGGGTACTCCCTGAAAGAGTGAAAAAAAATTTCTTCATCCGAAAATGAAATATCGTTAAAAAAATAACATTTTCTTGTCGATAAGTCTACGAAAGAACCCAAAGAGAGGAACAAATCACCCAAAAAAGAGATATTGTTAGTTGAAGCAATATATTCCTAACAAAAATTGAGGTAGTAAAAAAATTTTAAAACTTTTTCGTAATTTTTGACGGGTTTCGCTTGAGTTAAAATAATATCAAGATAAAAAAAAAAGTGTTCTCTTGAGAAAATTCTAGTATTTGGAACTCCCGATGAGAAAAATTTTAGACTCATAGTTCTCACGCAATTCAAAGTAATAACACGAAAAAAAGATTCGTAATTTTTTTTGCACTCTTTTTTTTGGTTTAGGGATTCAGGAAAATTTTTTCAAATTGAATATATAATCTTGTAGGCCTGAAGATTTTACTTTTTAAATTATATATCTCACAAGCGTACCAAATGATTTTGAAGCAATTGGCAGCCTCTGACTCAGTTTTCTTAGCATTCATAGTTAAATTATGTCATCAAAAATAATTCTAGAATAAATTCGACGTTATTTGAAAAAGGCACTTTTTTAAAATAATTAGTGTACGATTTCTCTTTAACACATCACCCGATTTTAATCTGGTTTGCAGCAGTCAACGTCGTTTTTTAAATTAACGAACTGTTTAGATTTTGGAATTGATTGTTACATCTGTTTAAAAGCTGTTGAAAGAAAAAAGTTATTTTAAATTTATGAGGAATAAGTCTAAGTTTCGCTGAACCTTATTGAATAACGCGATTGTCGTTCAAATCAGTGGAATTGCACAAAAGTTATGAGAGGTTTACACACTGATAGTAATTTTAACTAGACTCAAGAGTAAAAATCTTGAACCAAGAACACCAATTGGAAGAAAATGAATTTCTTGAGCCAAGAGGAAAAATTCTTGAGTCATGATAGATTCTCTTGAGTTAAGAAAATATATCTTGACCCAAGAATTTTTTCTTCTTGACTCAAGAAATTCATTTTCTCCCAATTGGTGTTCTTGGTTCAAGATTTTTGCTCTTGAGTCAAGTTAAAATTTCTATCAGTGTGCCCGCGAAAATTAAATTCTAGTAGGATAAATAAGAATAATAATAACGCGACGTTGCCACAGTTTCATGCAGAATTGAATTTCATAGTATGTGTGTATACGTATAGGGGATGTAGTAGTGAAAGAAGTACAGTCACGTTAAAAATACATTGAACACAGTCATAGTACAGCTAATGTGTTAAAGTATAGTACTAATCCAAAACTTTTTGACTGTAAAGTCGCGGAGGTACTACCTTAATTTTCATGTAATTCTAAATGTTCGAACAAATTGGATTATTTTTCAACAGATTGAAACATCGTCAGTAGAGATCGTTCAAGATCCAACATCTAATCCCTCCAATTTCACATTACGAAGACGTAAAACATATTTCGGCGACACTGGATGGTATGGATGCACCGAAGCAAGCAAAAATTATCGGAAATTGAATCATATGAAAATTTCGGTCACCCCGGATACTTACAATGAGATTTTTATCAAATGGGTTTACGTTTATGTAACATGTAAGCTAACAAAAATTTAACTATTTCCTACTAATTTTATCACTAATTAAGTATTAAAACTAGTGTCAAAATTAAACAAGCATGAAAGAAAAATAAAAATATTTTTCTGATAGAGTATTCATTTAGATAATTAACTGATCCACTGTTTTGTGAAAGACAGTGAAATTTTATCGTAAAATGTTATAGTAATTTTGCAAATCACTATCGTCGAAACATTGTAATTATTAATTAGCGCTAAAATATTTTTTGGCAAAATTATATTGCAGTTTTAATAATTAACAATATAATACTTTTGAAAACCTCTGGAATTTTATAATAAAACAGCACACAGTTTTATGGTTGATGGATACAATAATAGAGTGATGTGGGGCAAGTGTAAGCACTTAAGCATTAAAACTAGTGTCTAAATTAAACGATGAGCATGAAAGGAAAATAAAAATATGTCTCTGATAGAGTATTTATGTAGGTAATAATTAAATTAATAAATAAAGTCTAAAACTTTAACACTTCGGAAAAAAAACGGATTAATCCGAATGATTCTAAATACTTACACTTTTCCCGTACTGAGGGTAAGTGTTTGCACTCGTGTGGGGTTAATTTAAGCAACTAAGGGAACTAAGTGGATTTTTAATGCCCTAAGCAGACTGATTTTAATAATACTTACATAACTTTATTGAGACATAACATAACTTGGAATGTTATGCTAAATAAAAAGCTCAGATACATTATTGACTGAAAAAAAATGAATTTACTTTAGTTACTATCCTTAGTACAGTCTGACAATCTTTGCCCCTGACAGAAAATTAAACCTTTACGCCACCAGATTGTTAATATTTTATTTTTTCAGTAAACTAATGATGCCACGTGGGTTTTTCTTGCATAAGCTAATTTTCCACCAACAAACCTTTAATTTGCCTACACATTTCACAAACTTCCCCCTCTCCATTCATAAATAAAGGGGTTGCGCACACTTACCCGCTAAGCACAGTTACCCCACGTGACTCTGTATATTAAATATTCCGATGAGTCCATTTGCAGTCGTATAAAAAATTTTTTCACGGGTTTTAAAGTACTTTAAATTCTTGATAATTTATCTGAATAACTATCTTATTGATCAATTTCAGATCAAAAGATTTTCAATCAAGTTACTTACAAGAAACAATCAATTTACAGCTTACAATTTCTCCCCTATTAATTGCTCCTTATCTTCTGCATATCTATTTACCTCTATCAATTTTTACACCATTAATTTTTAGCTCCAACTGATGTCTGGATTTCTAACAACAAATTTAGCGTAGCCGACAGCTTTGTTGGTGGCAATGCGATCTTTCCATGCCGCCCTAATTCTCCAACAGCCTCTGCAACCTTATTATTCGAAAATTCGGTCAGTTGAAAACCAATTAAGCTTCTGGAAAAAAAACTTAAGGGCTCTAATTAACAATATGTTCAAAATTTTCAGATTAAAGCTCTTCCTCTGGACGATAGACTATCATTTGATCCAAAAGTGGGATTTATATTACACAATGTTTCGAAAAACGATTCAGGATCATACACATGTTATGTTAAAAACTTCCCTGATGACTGGATTATTATCAAACTTAACGTACTAGGTATTGTATACACAGAAAAAAAGGTTCATTTGAGCCAAGAAAATATTTTTCTTCCTATTTAGTTTCTTGAGCAAAAAAAAAATTTTTTTGACACAAGAAATTTCACTTATTCCAACAAAACTAATTCTCTTGCTTTAAAAAATACGTTTTAACTTCAACCAACACAACTTCGGTCTTCCTTCAGGCACCCGACAAATTTTCTACAGAAAATTTTGAGTAAGCTTGACACTTTTTTTCTGCTATTTTAGGCCCCAATGCCTTGACTCCAGTGATGATAAACAGTTACTCACTGCAGCAAATGACTCTCGGCCAGGGTTTTTCAATGAATTGCTCGATATTTTACGGGGATGACTTCGCACCGAACATGCTCCGTTGGATTACACCACGAGGGGTATGCATGAAGATGATTTATGCTTTACAAATTCAAATTTAAAATGACATCACTTGTTTTTTTGATCTTAGAACAAACAGATCACGAAAACTCTCGCTTCATCCACGGAAGAAGATTTAAGTGAATATTTCAGCGAATTGACGATAAAAAGCGTAACTAAGGATGATGTTGGTGAATACACGTGCCAGTTTTATGGAAATAAGATTGAAACTGTAAAAATAAACCTTCAATTGCACAGTAAGTCACTGAGTAACAATTATCAATTATTGATATTAATACACGGAAAAAAGTAAACTGTAAAATTTACTCGGATTTCGGTTAATCTTTATAGGTTCAAACAGTACAGCGGACATAAAATTCAAAACAAAATTCAGTATACAAAAGTAAATGTGAAATGTAAGATAAAATTCAAGACAAAATTTCAAGATAAAATTAAAGACAAAATCTAAGATAAAATTTGTCTTGAATTTTATCTTAGATTTTGTCTTGAAATTTGTCTTGGATTTTGTCTTCAATTTCATCTTTAATTTTATCTTAAATTTTGTCTTGAAATTTGTCTTGAATTTTATCTTATAGATTTTGTCTTGAAATTTGTCTTTAATTTTATCTTAGATTTTGTCTTGAATTTTGTCTTGAATTTTATCTTAAATTTTGTCTTGAAATTTGTTTTAAATTTTGTCTTAAAATTTGTCTTTAATTTTATCTTGAAATTTGTCTTCAATTTTATCTTGAAATTTGTCTTTAATTTTATCTTAGATTTTGTCTTAAATTTTGTCTTGAATTTTATCTCAGATTTTGTCTTGAAATTTGTCTTAAATTTTGCCTTGAAATTTGTCTTGAAGTTATTATGAATCGACTATTATTTATTACAATTTACTTTTTTCCGTGTAAGTATCGGATATTTTTAGAATTTTTTGTAAAAATATACTACCGCTTATATAATATTTCAATATTTTTTTTCGGAAATTAAAAAAGAAAAATTAATAAATATTAATTATTATTACAGATGAAAGTTATCTTAAATTATCGAATAGAATTTCAAATAACTACCGAGTAATAGCTGGTAATAATATTGATTGGACTATAGATGTCGAAGCTTATCCAATCCCGAAATTTCAGTGGTAATGTTGATTTTTCACTACAGCAATAACAATTACTTCAATCGTTAAATTCTAGAGAAAATACAAGATTTTTCCAAGTTTCAATTGAATTAATCTAAAGATTTTTGTTTTGGTACTAGGTTTGACCCTAAAGGAAATGAAATAAAGAACGGTTGGATCCTCAATGACTTTCAAGTCAACGGTGAACACTTTTCGGTCCAATTAATCAAACCTTTCTTGACTTATGAAGATCGTGGGACTTATACTCTGAAAGCTACTAATGCAGCAGAATTTAAGGAGATTAAATTGACGCTTGATGTTTTAGGTAAGATCTTTTATAAAAAAAAAAAATAAATTTAGACCATATGAGAACACATGAAAATTTATTTTGCTGTTCACTGATTTCAGTTGAACCTACCATCGTTCAAAAATCAGAAGACGCGGAAGCCATATCTGCTTCATATAATCAAACCATAACTGCTGAATGCGAAGCTCAAGGAAATCCTCTTCCGGCTATAATATGGAAGTATTCTCATAAATTTGAGAATTCAACTGAAAGCACAGGAGAAGGCGATTTATTTAATGTTCGTTACATTTTTATTCTTTCTTTGGTACACTGAGAGAAAAATATGGTTCTCTGAACTAGGAACAGCTAGTTAGATAGTATCACCATTATTTAATTGTTCTTCTAAAATTAATTATTATATTGAACCTTAATAAGTTACTTAAACTATTTTAAGTTAAATGTGGGCTTAATAGTCATCTTGATTAACTTTAACACAGAAAACAGAAAAAATAATTCGGACAGCCCCGGCCGGGAATCGAACCCGGTTTTTGTTGGTTACGCACTAAAGGCGCTTTCAGTTACGCTATCTGAAACATCGTCCGTAACAACCTTTCAGTCTAATAATTTTGCATGCCTTAAGCGCGAAGCGCGCAGGTATGCTCTACTCTCGCCTAAAAATCGTGATTTCGATTAATACGTGATTTTCATAATTTAAACGAAAAAAATTATGGATAAAAAGCATATTGAAATAAATAATAGTAACTATAAAACACATTAAAAAAATTTTCTCATCGATTAAATAAGATTTCTCAGAAAAAACTCGTTTTTCTGATTAATTAAATGAAGAAGAGCGTGGTATTCACGGAAGCTATGGGCTTGACAACACCACAACTTTGTCAAAAATCACTTTCACGATTTAATTTTTTTTCTGTTTTATTCCTGAGGAAGTTTATCAAAACTCTTGTGAAACTTGCGTGTCAGAATAATTCCGTTTCGATACAGTTAATTTTTTTCGATTGCCAGTTCGGTGACTTTTTCTGCGATTTCGGCAGCCATATGTATTATTTTTCATAAACAGAATTGAAATAACTATAAACAAGCAGAAACTATACATACATGCTGGTATAATTACTAAGTGTTTTATCATCTGGTAAAATTTTTCTTTAGTTCGACCTACAGAGGGCATAATACTACTCGCGGGAAAATTCAAATTAAAAACGAATAATTTTTGTTATGATCTAAATATTTTATGTATGACATGAGCGCTTAAGGCATGCTCATTTGGATTTTCCAAACTTTTTGAATTTTGTTTAATCCGATAGAAAAATATTTATTAAAATACAGTCGATATAATTATTTATCAGTACTTAAACTAATCCATAGAGTAACTACAAAAAAAAGTTTTGAAAACTGTATTTTTACACTTGAGACGTTATAATTCAGCTAATTATCCACTTTTCTCTCAGTGTATTTCCAATAACCCGTTCACTTACATAAGAATGATTTCAGATAACATCGATCACAGTTGATGGGGAGAAAACAATATCCACAATCAATGTAAAAGCTCAAAATACAGGAAAACTCATTTGCAGCGCATGCAACGAAGTCAATTGCAGATCTGCTGTTGTTAAAGTTATCACTGTTCCAGGTAAGTAGCCTAAGAATTATTACTTATTTTTTAGCAGTCATACTGATGTCTTTTTGTTTTTCAGTGTTGATGAAATTGCAGCCAGGTCCACGACCAATATCTGATTACCAGGTGGTCTCTTTAAGCGAAGGCGAGACATTGCATATTTTTTGTCCCAGTACTAAAAATGTAACGTTTTTCCACCTCTGGCTTAAACGGGGTGTAAGTATTCAAATTTAATAATTCATTTACTTTTATTGGAATGAGTGATGATGAAGACATTGGATATCTAACAGGTTGTCAATTCAAACTATTCCATATCAGGACAAGAAGTCGGTAGTAAGAACGCATGGTATGAACGCAAGTCAGTAGTCTACGGTGATAGTGGATGGTACGCATGTGGGAATGTGCCCGAAAAATATCAAGACTATGGGGAATTTACGTTCGTGTCCAGTCCGGTTCTTTACAAGGAATCAAATAGTGATTGGTTGTACGTTTTTGTCGAATGTAAGATATGTTTTCTATTTTATTGTTCTTTTAGGTATATACACTGAGAGAAAAGTAGATAGTTAGCTGAATTATAACGTTACAAGTATAAAAATACTGATTTCGAAACTTTTTAACTTCCCGCTAAAAATCTCAGATTTCCAAAAATCGGGAAGTTATTGTTTTCACCCCGTTTTGCAAAAATCGAGTATTCATCAGATCTCGACGTTTTAAGGTCATAGGAAGCTTCCCTGACTACCTGGCCTTCAGGGTCAACCGTATTCCTAATTTTTTTTTTAAGTTACTCGAACCATGTATTAGTTTAAGTAACTACTGATAAATAGTTATAGAGACTATATTTGAATAAATATTTTTCTATCGCGCTAAACAAAAAATTGTTAGACCGAAAGGTTGTTACGAATGACGTCTCAGATAGCTTAACTGGAAGCGCCGTTGGTGTGTAACCAAAAGATCCGGGTTCGATTCCTGGCTCGGGCTGTCCGAATTATTTTTTCTGTTTTCTGTGTTAAAGTTAATCAAGATGACTATTAAGCCCCCATTTAACTTAAAATAGTTTAAGTAATTATCCATTGGGGTTCAATGTAATAAATAATTTTATTAGATATAAGAATTTCAATTAAATAGTAAAGATCAGAAAACTATACTTTCTCTCAGTCTCTTATAAGACGTAACTACAAATCATGTCAATGTTAACAAGTATTATTTTTCAGCTTCAGAGAACCTTTTTGTCGAGACTCCATATATAAACAAAGATTCCGACGATAATTACATTTTAGAAGTAAATGTTGGAAATGATCTAATATTCCCTTGTCGGCCAACTTCCCCAGACTATCAAGTGGATCTCTACATAGATGACCAAGTTAGTTATAATTTACAATTTATAATCCATGATATATTTAACATTGATCTGGGACAGATTCTGTATCAAGACTGGAGCAAAAATTCTTAAACAAGAACCTTGCTCTAGAGTTGTCAAAATCTGGATGAAATTTGATCAGGAATCTTGACAAAAAATTTATATTTTTCAGAAAGCAAATTTAAGTGATCATTTATTATATGATCCAAAGATAGGATTTACAATGTTGAATATCACATGGGAAATGCCCTTTTTCATCCACTGTAAAATAAACGATCCCACCACAGGAAAAGTGCAGAGAAGAGACTTCAGTGTCAACCTAGAAAGTACGTCGACTTTTTAATTTTTGATCAAAATACAGACAAAAATCTCTTGATTGTAACTAATTGTAATTAATCGGAATTGCAGATTCAACAAACGGGCTTGACTCACCAAAGATAATGACCGAAACACTCACTCACATGGTAGTCGGAAAACCTTTCACTTTGCAATGTAAAGCTTACTTCAATCGAGTTAAAACCAATTACTATTTCAAATGGAATAAGCCTCAGCTGGTAATGATTAATGATAACAACACTTAACATTGGAAAATTTAATTACATTTCGCTTACGGATCATTCCATATTTTAGAATCATCAAATCACACAAAAGTTGTATCAACTCAACGGTACCGAGAGGACCATTATAGAAAACTGGGCGCCACAAGTTGGATTCGTGATCTTTGAATTGACTATTGAGAACGTCACTCCGGGAGATTTTGGTGAATACGAGTGTGTGATTTATGAATATTCATCTTTTAAATCAGATAAAATCTATTTGGCACCCCATGGTGAGTATTTTAAGTTAATAAAGAGATAAGAAACCATATTAAGTGTATAAAACATCTATTATTACTTCTGATCAGAACGGAACCAACTGGAATTAACAAGTCGGACAACTGAAATCACTGTTGAAATCGGAAACGATTGGTCGCTTGAATTTGATGTTAGCGCGTATCCTCTGCCTAATTTCAAGTGGTAATTAATTTTTTTTTAGGACACTGAGAGAAAAGAACATAGATAGTTAATTATAACGTCACAAGTATAAAAATACAGTTTTCGGAAATTTTTTTTTGTAGTTATTCTATGCATTAGTTTAAGTAACTATTGATAAATATATATATATCGACTATATTTTAATAAATATTCTTCTATCGTGTTAAACAAAAAATTATTAGACTGAAAGGTTGTTACGGACGATGTCTCCGATAGCTTAACTGGAAGCGCCCTTGGTGCGTAACCAAAAGGAACCGGGTTCGATTTTCGGCCCGGGCTGTCCGAATTATTTTTTCTGTTTTCTGTGTTAATGTTAATCAAGATGACTATTAAACCCTCTAACTAAAAATAGTTTAAGTAACTTCATTGGGGTTCAATATAATAATTAATTTTAGAAGAACTTCAATTAAATAGTGGTGATGCTATCTATCTATTTAACTAGATTTTTCTCTCAGTGCGTTAATAGTGCAAGTAGAAATTTTTTAACAAAATTGAAAACTTAGGTACGACCCAAAAGGCCGAGAAAGAGAGAACCAGTGGACCCCTAGGAATTATGAAATAAATGGCGAATCATTTGAGGTCGTTTTGGAGACTAAAAACACCAGTTTTGAAGACTTTGGCACTCATACAATAGTTGCTTATAATTCGGAAACAACTAAAAACATTACTTTTAATGTTTTAGTCAAAGGTATTTTCTTAAAATATCAGACGAGTCTATAAAACCCAAAAGTGCACGCCTCATAATGCTCACATAATTTTTCCAGAAAAACAAAATCCTAATACTAAAAATGAGCCGCGCACTTTTGGACATTAATAAATTCTAATGAATTATTACCGTAATAATTTGATGTTGATATTTTAGTGAAACCCGAAATTACGAAGCCTAAATATGATTACATAGGAAATTACTTTTTAAACCAAAAAATTGAATTTCAATGTCAAGCTAGTGGATATCCGATACCAAATTTGAATTGGGTGTATGGCAACAATTATTTTAATTCGACTGGCTCTTTAGACTCCGAAATATTTGAGGTAATAATTTCTTCCAATTTAATCCAATTGTAGAACACTCTTCATTAATCAGAATTTATCATGCTTTAGAATGGAGCAACAGTAGTAACTGGAAAGACAATTGTTACATCTACTATAACTATAAAAATGGTTGAATCTGGGTCGATTAGATGCAACGCGTGTAACAAAGAAGGCTGTAACCAATACATAGTACAAATAGTCAATGTCTTTGGTGAATATCTAATCTACATAAAATTTTATTGAAAATGTTTAAACATGTTGCCTATTTTTGTAAATTTAGATCCAAACGTTGCATGTCCTAAACTTGAAACTCCAGACACTCCAGTGGCGCCTTGTAAAGAAGTACATACCGATCGATCTATTGAATCAAATCAATTAAATGTATACGGCTTGATCATGACCAGTCAACAAGTCAATGCTTCTAAAGGAGGTTCCGTTAGTATTAAGTGTGGTTTCTTGGATAATAAATTTCGTAACAATATATCATGGGAGAAAACCAACGGTAGTCTTGCATTTAATGGTAACTCTTTTTATATTTTTACTCTCCTGGTAGCCACCTTTACTAAAGCTTGCCGTCAATCTACGGCCGCAATTTGAAGCAAACTTGACGGAAAGAATTGGCACATATTAAGTTGGCGACAAGTTTCTCAATAAATTTGGCGACATATTGCGGCAATAGATTGTCGCTATATTTATCCCCAATTTGTCAGTGAATTGTGACCTACAGTTACAAATTCCGAATTTTACGGCAAGTTGTCGCTAAGATGGTGGTAACTACCCTGATAGCCACCTTATACTATAACCCTATCTTGTAGATAAGTTAGCGACAAGATATCGTTAAGTTAACGTCAAGTCTACAAATTCTTATCCTTATATGCAAGTTGACAATAAAATAGTGCCGATATTCAAAAACAAGTTATCCATAAACTTGAATAGAAAATTTCGGCAAGTTAACTGCAATTGTTTCAGTACAATTCGCTGAAGTAAATTTGAACCATAACTTGTAGATTAACACTTATTGTCAATCTACTTTTCGTCAAGTTATCTATAATTCGCAGCACTTGATTATCTGAAAGTTATAGTATGAGGTAGCTATCAAGGTAATATCTGACACCAACTTTGTTGGTCTGAAACTCTATCATATTATCATGTAAACTTACGGTATCTATTAATTGTAGGCAGGGTTGCAATTGATTACAATAACGATGTTAAAACACATCTGTATGTGTCGGAACTTACCATAACAAATGTTGATAAGTCAGACGAAGGTTATTACATCTGCAAAGGCACGACAAAAGATGGCTCTGCTGTTCAAAATGAGTATAAGCTTCATGTCAATGGTAACTATTGGTAAATGATACCGTGTAAAAAGGCCTAGGGTAGATGTACCGTTTGTGGCCACTTTAAGAAATTTCGTATCTATTATTTCGAATTTAATAAATGTAGTAAAATATATAATAACGAAATATAAATTAATGGCATCCTTAATGCATCAGTTATCGAATAATTGACAGCGATTACCTTATAAACACAATTCTGTATAAAAAAATAAGAATATTTAATCATACCTGCTGTTTCACCAGTAGTGGCCATAGAAGTACTACTTTTGGCCATCAGTTGCACCACTTTTGGTCATAGTAAGCAATAAATTTTGGTGAATGGAATATTATTAATATTACAGTCAATTAATTACCAAAACATCAATTTATTTAAAATATAATTGAACATAATACAATAAAATTGTTACAGATTAGAAACTTCAAGTTATTTATTAGACATTTTTCGCGATTTAACAGGTTTCTTAGCAGCTAATTGTTTAGCTGATTTTTTTTTAGCTTGTTCCTCTAACTTCTCCTGTTTTATCTTTTTATTTCTTTCAATTCTCTCTTCTCTTTCAATTTTCTTAAGCTTTCTTTCTTCTTCTTTCTCATTTTTTTCATTTTCTTTAGCTTCCATAACTTCTATCCATTTATTAGATGTTATTACTGAAGGTAAATGTTTGACAGCACGTTTGCGCTTTGATGGCTGTTTTTTAGGCCACATAACTATTTGATTAATGACTTCATCTAACGATTTTCGGCACATCGTTATTGTATTAGAATTAGATACATTTTCCGCGCTAAGAGTAGAAACTGGATTTGGATCTATAACTTTAATAATAACAGGTGATGATTGGATAGCGTTATTACTGGAAGGAAGAACTGCTCTAATAGTGTTTGAATCGGTATTAATATTTGAAAGTATTGAAGGTTCAGGTGAAAGAGGAACTCCTAAATCAGGATTCTGGTTAGGAGTGTGAGAGATGAAGGATTGCAATGGTTCTTCGACTAAAAAAGAATAAAAAAAAATAAATTAAATTAAAACATGATTTTAAAATTAATCAAACAACCAAGAAAGGAACTGAAAACCGATCAATTTTTAGAAGTTGCACTTCGATTTTTGTTTTCTTTGATCATACTTACCTTCATCAAAATTAAGCTCTGAAAACTCAAGAAATTCAAATTCTATAACATTGTCATCATTGGTAATCGAAGGATTGAGATCTTCAGATGCGAGAAGAATACAGGATGGAGATTGTTGGTCATTATCTACATTTTTATCATCTTCTATTGCCTTGACCCAAAGTTCGTACAAAAGCTCGTATTTATCATCAGCTTCCCAAGCAATACCTGCGGCTTTTGCATGCTTAAATCGTTTTAAAACGTCAGCATCAATCTTGCTTTCAATAAATTGTCGGTGAGATAAAACTTGTGCAGATTTTTGTGATTCGGGTTCGTTAGAAATATTTTGAGCGTTTTGAGACTCTTTTATTTCAACGCATTTAGTGTAATCGACTGCGTCAGCATCGAATGGGCATATGCCACAAGCTTTAAATCCACTCTTGATAACATTAACGAAATTTTCTTCATTGATAAGCTTTGACAAAAAAGCTGGAACATTATGTTTTTCCACATCAGCACCATTATTTTCTATTCGCCAATTACGAATTAAATTCTTCCATCTTTGTTTTAATGGGAAAAAAAAAGATACATCGAGTGGTTGTAGAATATGAGTTGCGTGGGGCGGGAAACAGCACAGGATAATCTGTTTTTCTTTGCAGAACTTACTCAAATGGATGGACATGTGAGAGACATGACCATCTAAGAATACAATCACTGGGAATTTAATTTCACTTTTTTGAAGAAATGGATAAAAAACATTTGTGAAATATTCATAGAAAGATTCACTGGTCATCCATCCATTTTCCGATTTCCCTATTCCCCAGTCTTTTGGAGCAGATTCAACACAAATTTTGGGTAAACGTTCATATTTGAAAATTGTTAGCGGTGGTGCGAATTCACCAGCAGCATTAACATTGAACAATGTCGTAACATTTTCTTTTTCATTACCTGCTACATCATAGACAGATTTTCCTCTTTCGGCCAAAACAAGACCACCTTTTGGTGCAAGATGTACTGCGGTCTCATCCATATCAAAAACCCGCCGAGGATCTTTAAGTATCTCAATGTTTTCGCCTAGCTCTTCTGCCACATGAAAAAACCAAGAACGTATCCCACTTTCAGTGACGACTGCCCGAGCTTTGCATAGATATTCAGCTTTCTTTTGTCCAACGCGTGGATGACGCTTGAGGAAACCTTCAAACCACTTTCTTCCAGGAACATTATCTTTAAACGGATTCTTCATCCCTTCTGCTTTCACCAATTGTTTGACAGAGTGTATCAAAAACTCCCTATTTATCGGAAATCCCATTCTACTAGTCCCTAATAACCACTCCTCTAATTTGTCTTCGATATGACGACCAAGTATCGATTCCGGACCAACGTGACCTGAAGACTCTAGTGCTCTTCCTTTAAGTTTATTACGCAATGTTGTTCTCGGAATATCATATTGCTTAGCTGCCGATGCAATAGCGGTTCCACTTCTTATTAGCTCCAAGGCTTTTTTTAAATCAGCTTCTGGATACTTAAAAAACGTCCTTTTAGGTTTGCTGATTGCCGCTTGAGAGGACGTAGGAATTTTCTCCACGGTCTTCTTTTTTAGTTTCGGTGCCATTTTAACATATAAAATAGAAAAAATAAAATAAATAGTTATTAGTTTGATGATTGAAATCCTTTATTAATTATTTTAGCATTAATAATTGAATAATATACGCGTTAGTAACTTAAATTATTAAGAAATAGATAAGATGGCCAAAACTGGAAAACAGATGCACCATTTGTGGTCATAGCATGACCAAAAGTAGCACTTGTATGTTTTTGTTGTACCAGTTGTGGCCATGGGTTATTTTATGCATATTTTAGGTTAATTTCTGTGAATTCATGTTTTTTTTTACCTTATTTTAAAGTATTTTAATAATATAAAATATTAATATTCAATGAATAATAAGATTTTCGACAAATATTACGAATTTACTTACCAAATATATTTTTAATTATTTCTGTCAATACACACTTTACGACTAGGGAAAAGAGTTCACAATGTTGCCAACATATCAAAAAACCGTACAAATGTACTACATGATACAATAGAAAAACCTAATATTTAATATTTGGTTACAAATGTCAAAATGGCCACAAATAGTACAGTGGCCACAAACGGTACATCTACCCTATACCAAAACCTGGTTTGGGTAGTTAAATTTTTTAACGCCAGATGGCAAGTACGTCACCGCCATAAGAATACATGACCTGGTTTGGGTAGTGCTGTTTTCAACCACAAGGTGGTGTCTTGCAATTACCATTTACCAATTACTGTCAGATTCATTTGTGGTGCAATAAAACTGGCTAATTTAATTAACTAATATTTATCATGATCTTTTATTTATTTTCAGCTTCTGCTGCATTGGCGGCTTCGATAATTATACAGTTATCCATAATGTTACTTTCATACTTATTGTAATCAATTTTTGATTAAATTAACAAACTACTTCAGTTTTTATATTCAAGTTTATTCAAATAAATTTAAAAATGATTGACTAATTATCTTTATTAATAATACTGAAAAACATTCTTGATAACCTTCGAAAAAATATTTCAGCATAATGTTAAACATTTTAGACCAAGCCTGATAGTCTTCTTGATTTAACTTATCACCTAAATTTTGTTGCAAAACATCCATTGCAGCTTCTTTGAAATACTAAAAACAAATAAAATTTTATTTATAAGAATAAATTATTTAATGAATAAATAACTCACTACAAAATGAATTTTTGCCACGTCTAATTCTTCATGAATCTTTCCGATGAGCTTAAGAAGATCTCGAGTTGTAGTTATGTGATCCAATCTATTTACTACGTAATTAATGACAAAATTAACACCGAAACCCTGCATTTGACAATATTCTTCAGGAGTTACTTTGTGCAACGGAGTAGATTCAAGTTCCATTGCTCGGATCATTTCACTACGAGTTGGATAGTGATTAAACAATCTGATCAAGAAAAAAAAATTTTATTAGCACCCAATCGTGAAAACTAAAGCTTGAACATTAGCTACAATGAGAAAGCAGTTAAAAATATGGATTTAATATTAAAAAATTTGTTTTATTTAAATATGGATTACTTTTAACTAAATCTATTATGTTTTGGTTTATTTCATTTAATTCGCCTGTTTATTTAATTAAAATAACATTTTTTAATAGTTAACAAATCTCCTTTGAAATAAATCATAAGACGTTTGAGTGGGTACTTTTGCTATTTGAGTTATCCTAATTTTAATGCCTTTATCCAAAGCCTAACATAATTCACTAATTTAATATAGATAGATAAATTTAAAATGAATTTAATGATGGAAAAAAACTATAAAAATCCAACTCTTAGCTAATTATTTTAGTTTATTATAAATTACCCTAATAGAAATTATATAAATAAAGTGATCCTCATTGCTTTGATGACCCGAGAAAAAATGTTTCTATATAATCATATATAATTGTATATAATCATATATGATTATATATGGAATCACATATATAATTATATAGAATTATATATAATCATATATAATTATATAGAATTATATATAATCATATATAATTATATAGAATTATATATAATCATATATAATTATATAGAATTATATATAATCATATATAATTATATAGAATTATATATAATCATATATAATTATATAGAATTATATATAATCATATATAATTATATAGAATTATATATAATCATATATAATTATATAGAATTATATATAATCATATATAATTATATAGAATTATATATAATCATATATAATTATATAGAATTATATATAATCATATATAATTATATAGAATTATATATAATCATATATAATTATATAGAATTATATATAATCATATATAATTATATAGAATTATATATAATCATATATAATTATATAGAATTATATATAATCATATATAATTATATAGAATTATATATAATCATATATAATTATATAGAATTATATATAATCATATATAATTATATAGAATTATATATAATCATATATAATTATATAGAATTATATATAATCATATATAATTATATAGAATTATATATAATCATATATAATTATATAGAATTATATATAATCATATATAATTATATAGAATTATATATAATCATATATAATTATATAGAATTATATATAATCATATATAATTATATAGAATTATATATAATCATATATAATTATATAGAATTATATATAATCATATATAATTATATAGAATTATATATAATCATATATAATTATATAGAATTATATATAATCATATATAATTATATAGAATTATATATAATCATATATAATTATATAGAATTATATATAATCATATATAATTATATAGAATTATATATAATCATATATAATTATATAGAATTATATATAATCATATATAATTATATAGAATTATATATAATCATATATAATTATATAGAATTATATATAATCATATATAATTATATAGAATTATATATAATCATATATAATTATATAGAATTATATATAATCATATATAATTATATAGAATTATATATAATCATATATAATTATATAGAATTATATATAATCATATATAATTATATAGAATTATATATAATCATATATAATTATATAGAATTATATATAATCATATATAATTATATAGAATTATATATAATCATATATAATTATATAGAATTATATATAATCATATATAATTATATAGAATTATATATAATCATATATAATTATATAGAATTATATATAATCATATATAATTATATAGAATTATATATAATCATATATAATTATATAGAATTATATATAATCATATATAATTATATAGAATTATATATAATCATATATAATTATATAGAATTATATATAATCATATATAATTATATAGAATTATATATAATCATATATAATTATATAGAATTATATATAATCATATATAATTATATAGAATTATATATAATCATATATAATTATATAGAATTATATATAATCATATATAATTATATAGAATTATATATAATCATATATAATTATATAGAATTATATATAATCATATATAATTATATAGAATTATATATAATCATATATAATTATATAGAATTATATATAATCATATATAATTATATAGAATTATATATAATCATATATAATTATATAGAATTATATATAATCATATATAATTATATAGAATTATATATAATCATATATAATTATATAGAATTATATATAATCATATATAATTATATAGAATTATATATAATCATATATAATTATATAGAATTATATATAATCATATATAATTATATAGAATTATATATAATCATATATAATTATATAGAATTATATATAATCATATATAATTATATAGAATTATATATAATCATATATAATTATATAGAATTATATATAATCATATATAATTATATAGAATTATATATAATCATATATAATTATATAGAATTATATATAATCATATATAATTATATAGAATTATATATAATCATATATAATTATATAGAATTATATATAATCATATATAATTATATAGAATTATATATAATCATATATAATTATATAGAATTATATATAATCATATATAATTATATAGAATTATATATAATCATATATAATTATATAGAATTATATATAATCATATATAATTATATAGAATTATATATAATCATATATAATTATATAGAATTATATATAATCATATATAATTATATAGAATTATATATAATCATATATAATTATATAGAATTATATATAATCATATATAATTATATAGAATTATATATAATCATATATAATTATATAGAATTATATATAATCATATATAATTATATAGAATTATATATAATCATATATAATTATATAGAATTATATATAATCATATATAATTATATAGAATTATATATAATCATATATAATTATATAGAATTATATATAATCATATATAATTATATAGAATTATATATAATCATATATAATTATATAGAATTATATATAATCATATATAATTATATAGAATTATATATAATCATATATAATTATATAGAATTATATATAATCATATATAATTATATAGAATTATATATAATCATATATAATTTATATATATGTATATATGAAAAATATATCAACAATGCATGTAGGTACTCAAATAAAAGCTCTTGATAAGTGTAACATCGGGATGAGCTTATATCTTCAAAAACGTCAATGATAAAGAAAGTACAGTGCAATTTAACAAAAGTCATTATTTAATAAAGCAAAATTTTATTTATTTATATTCCACAAGCTAGTTATCTTAATCTTAATTACTTTCATTGATTAAATACAAAAATATTGGTATAATTTAATCTATTTGCCAAAATATTTAATAACGCTATTGCATTATAATATCTCGGACCATAAATTGATAACATTTAACATCCACTTGGGTGTGGTTATGACATAGCCTGATATATATTTAACTTAACACTATGACCTTATATATCAATAAATAATCGAATATCTCCTTAAGATTATTTTAATATTCAAACTCGTTGAACGGCTGATGCAACGGTCTTGTGTTTATATTATTACTTATTGTTTTGTTATTTCAGAATTATAGAATTAAATATTTAGTTGCTTAAAATAGTCATGGATTTTGAGATCATCTACCCGACCTTGGAAGATCATTTTAACTTCAAAAGTCTCAATTAAACTTACATTGAGATTCTTTTTGCTTGGGTCGGTCGTCGACACATACATTATTTATCAACAATAAAGATAGTCTTCTCCAGTCAAGAAATTTTTCTTTCTGTGTAGGATAATATTTTCCGTAGATTTATATATAAAATTTATCTTCACTAAGAATGTCTTCACTTTACTTAGAAATAATTCTTAGCACATGAATTTTTTTCCGATAAAAAATTCTTGCACGTGTTGATCTCACTAGACATTATTATTGAATTGATAATTAGATCATTAAAATGTACGAGATAAACCGTTCTCACTTACAACACTCACATCGGCTGATTAATCATTTAAGGTTTCTTTCTGTGTTCTTGACAAGGTCGAATATAACTTATCTACCTTCGCCTATTATATGTGGATAGGCTGAGACCTTAGAAATGATAGGGCCTAAAAAATTACAAATCTAAGTCATGGTTTCGGACGACACGTGTTATTGCTATAAAATATTGTAAAAGAAATAAATTCATCAATAAAGAAAGAGATGTTGTTATAAGACGACCTCGATAACTTGGAGACTGGGTCAATGATGGAAAATCACAATGATAATAAAACAACAACACATCCTTCATCATTTTTCTATTGGTTACATAAAAACCTTTATTTTCAATGTCATCAATTTTTTTTAAAGAGAAATTTTCTTATTTATATTATTCATTCGATTAATAAAACTTTCTCCGCAACATATGTTTCTATTAATGACTATAAATCTGAAAGACTGTTTTTGTAGAATAATTTAAAAAGTTTGGAAAATCCAAAAGTGAACGCTTTAAAAAACAAATAAATTGGACTAGCAACCTTGCAGTCACTATGTGACTGCCGTGACTTGTGAACTATAAATAAATAAAATTTTGCTTTATTAAGTGATGATTTTGGTTAAATTGCACTGTACTTTCTTAAATATTGACGTTTTTAAAAATATAAGCTCATCTTGATGTTACACTCATCAAGAGCTTTCATTTGAGTACCCACATGCATTTTTGATATATTTTTCATATATATTATATGTATATATATAATATATAAATATATGAAATATATGAAAAATTGATGTGGGTATTTAAATGAAAGGTCTTGATGAGTGTAACATCGGGATGAGCTTATATCTTTAAAAATATCAATATTTCTCAAAATATAAGGTCATTTATTAATTATGTAATATATATAAAATATATATTTTAAAGGTATAAGCTTGAGTACCCACATGCATTTTTTTATATATTTTTGATATATATACATATATATAATATATAAAAATTTATGAAAAATTTTTAAATATATGAAAAATTTATGTGGGTATTTAAATGAAAGGTCTCGATGAGTGTAACATCGGGATGAGCTTATATCTTTAAATGTGAATATTTCATAAGATATAAGGTCATTTCTTAATTATGTATCTAGAGATAGAGCATTTTCTTTTTCTTCTAACAATATAGATAATTGATTTTTAAAAGAAAAAAAAAATTAATTTCTTACATAGTATTTTATAATTGTTTTTTGAATTATTGGCGCCGAATTTTCTTGTCATATGCACGCGCAGTCTAAAAAAATCTATTGATATGATTGGTTGATCTCATTTTAACTTGATTAAGTGGCGCCATAGTTTTCACGTGAGAGAAATAAGAAAAGTTATTTTGTACGTGTGTATCATTGTGAATTTAAATAAAAATTCATTTAAAAAAAAAACTACGTAAACTAGGCTACTGATATTAAATACGGTAGCAGATAATCGAATTTTGGAACTAATAAAAAAAGCCCGGTCTCGATACATCTATTTTGTTCGGGAGTTATCGTGTTTACATACAAAATCAGCGTACAGACATCCGGACGTCCGCGTAAAATTTTTTTCCAAACGTTTTTATTTAAAAGTACCAACATTTAATTATTTTTATAAACTATAAGATGGATTAATTAAAGTGTTTTCTCGAGGTACGTCTACTCATATTATTGTATAAGTGCAATATGCTTGTGATAGAGGCATTTTAAGATCACAAAATTGCTTGACCTTGACGGGTCGGGCGTAAAGCACTACCTCAACCGCTTCGCGTTATGAGGTGTGCAAAAATTTTTTTTCCAATTTTCTTAATTAAAAATTTTTTTTGTAAAAAAAAAAAATCTATTTTTACGTTTCAGTTTATTCTTATTCATCACAAGCTTGTAACTGTTATCTAGAAGAGTCTGTTTACGAGACTCTTCATTAAATATTCACTTCCGTACACCTGTAGTTTTATAGATTTATTCTTAGCCAAAAAAAAAATGATTAAAACGCCCAGACACAACGACAATCATTCACATGTCGAGTATGACGTCTGTTTTATAAGAAAAAAAAAATATAAGTAGGAACTTTTTACAATTCAACTTTAAAATTATAATTGTGACGTTCTTGATAGCTTATAAACAATGCGTCGTTACTTTTAAATGTTTACCTCGATCCATCATACCTGATGTTATTCTAAATTTATAAAGCTTGTTTTTTGTTTACTCATTCACGAAAACAACGTCCATAAAAAACTTGATAGTTTCTCGGGTAACTCATCGAATTTTTTAGACTGAACTTTTGACCTCGACGAAAAAAGATATTTTTTAAGCATCAATGAAACAGTCTTAAAATAAAATTAATCATGAATTATAAAAAAAAAAATTTTATTATTAATTTGTAAATTATCAACAATCTTTGGTAAATGTCAGTTACCTTAAAGAATATTTCTTAATTTTGTTAATCAAATATTTATTTTTAGCGCTTAATCTTATTCATTAAAATAACACTTGGTTATATTTTGAGACTTTTATTTAAGAAATATTAAATCAGATCAGTAAGAAAAATTAAAATTAATTATTTTTTAAACAGTCGCAATTTTTGTTTACTTGGTAGATTATTTTTGAAGTCGCCAAAAAGCAAAAATATAAAATTAATGAATTATTTATTTTTTTTTATGGAATTTTATTAAGAAATTTATATTATTAAGAGGATAAGAAAAATTTTTTCTCTAGATACATAATTGAGAAATGACCTTGTATCTTGTGAACCATTGACATTTTTAAAGATATAAGCTCATCCCGATGTTATACTCATCGAGACCGTTCATTTGAGTACCCACATCAATTTTTTATATATTTCATTTATTTATATATATTATATATATGTAAATATGAAAAATATATCAAGAATGCATGTGGGTACTCTAATGAAAGCTCTTGATGAGTGTAACATCGGGATAAGCTTATATCTTTAAAATATATGGTATATATATTACATAATTAAGAAATGACCTTGTATCTTGTACACGATTGACATTTTTAAAGATATAAGCTCATCTTAACATTACACTCATCGAGACTGTTCATTTGAATACCCACATCAATTTTTCATATATTTATATATATTATATAAATATATATATATGTGAAAAATATATAAAAAATGCATGTGGGTACTCAAATGAAAGCTCGTGATGAGTGTAACATCGGGGTGAGCTTATATCTTTAAAAACGTCAATAGTTAAAAAATTACAGTGCAATTTAACAAAAGTCATTATTTAATAAAGCAAAATTTTATTTATTTATAGTTTACAAGTCACGGCAGTCACATAGTGACTGCAAGGTGGCTAGTATTTTTTAATTAATCAATGTTATTTGTTGTGAAACATTTTAGAATTAATAAAACTCTTGTAATTATTTTTATAATCATTATTTTATTAATTTTTTCATATTCAAAAATTCTAATCCTTTTTTCCCAAAAAAGACAAAAAACAGAATTTAAGTCCAACAAAGTTTTAAAATAACTTTTAATGACATAGTATAATTTGGGTTTATCAATTTCCGCAAGACAAGAGAAAATTGACTGATCGCGATCGATAATTACAAATATAATTAGAGAAGCGTGATGTAGTGATGCAACTCAACCTCGATTTGGAAACAATCGGTAGATAATTCTGTCACTTTCAGCATGAACTTCGGAAGACTAACTCTAGTAATTTTATTCGCGGCAAAAATAGCCGCGTCCTTAGACGTCAGGTCCCTAAATTCTATCGAGGAAATAATTGAATTTGTCGCGGAAGTTGCTGATTCAATTAATGGAGAAAAGCTAAATGCAGCTGAAAAACTAGTGAACAGTTTTAGGATCGACGGGTACCGAAATTACGGAGAAGTTGTCAGGAAATATTTCGCCGAGTTTCCACATAAAACAGTGACCGATCAACAAATCGAGGAATTGAAGAATTATATCGCAAAAATAGACAATGCGTGGATAAAATTTACATCTGAAGAGGCGAAAGCAGAGTTAGGGGAATTTGTCAAGCTGTTGCCGGAGATTTCGGGCAAGTTGTACAGTATTTACGTCGGAAATGGTCAAGATATCAAAGGATTCCCCACTCAAGTTGCAACAGTAAGTTTCAACTTTATTCCACGGAATATTTGCATTAAAAATTTCTATTATTTAATAATGATTTCAGGATAGGAAATTTAGCATATGCCTAATAACAGAAAACGACCAATTGCGCCTGCGGAAGCTCCATCAAATTTTTATACTGTCAGAACTCCGGGGGTTTATTTTATCCCTGAAAGCTTCCGAGGACCCTCAAAAAGCAGCAGCTCGTGCTGTTTTTCACGCCCAGCAATATTTACAGGCTACTCGCCAAGGTTTCCTCAAAAAATGGAATTATCATCGAAAATGTGACCCTCGAAAGGACATTAGAGGTAAGTAGAAAGAATTGATCTGATAATTTTTGAGCTAATGGACGTTTTTAGGTGAAACCTTTTCGGAATTTCTGGGCCTCTTTCAAGGCGTGATAGTCAATGAGCTACAAACCAACAGTGTCGATGCTTCTCATTGCAAAGATGATTGTTCGGCTGTGGATTATTTGAGAATAGTCAGATGCTATGATGCTGTTGACAATACTGGAACCATCATCCATTGCCATGCAAAACCTTGCAATGGAATACTACATGCTTGCATCGATGTAGGCAATGTCAAAACATGTGAAATGGTAGGTTTTTTCTCCTTTTGTGATAAACACCTCTTACCGTTTAATAGAGAACAAAATTAAGCTACAAATTTCCGTTTATAGAATGAAAACTCGGACAGACGTTTTTCTTGGTTGAGATCAGTCAAAGATGATACCTCTAAGTTACTATGTCCGGGAAGAGTAGTTGAAATGTATCGTACTCGGTACAAAGAAATTTTCCATTGTTCAGTGTGCAAGTGTATATGTGCGGAACAGGATGGTAATTCGACAGCCATGAGAACTATCAGTCTCATCCCGCAATTCGCCGACATCCGCAGAAACATGTAAGTGTAAGCACGAATTTGAAAGGTTTCATTTTTGGTAACGATGTTGGAATTTCATCAGGGTAATGACCGGAGTGCGATTCGCTGAAAAGGACCGAATGTTCCATCTCCAAATTGAGCAGGCTGAATTGGGTCCTTTTGGAGAAATCGTCCCAGATACCGCGGAGTGGAAAGAACTGGGGGACTTTCAGTACGACCCAGCAGAAGAAGGGAGTTTTTCGATGAAGAAAGGAGAAGAGTTCGTTAAATTGACGGAGTTTATAGACTTTTCTTTCGTGACCCTTGATCAGCGGACCATCAACCTGGACGAAATCTTTGCTGACCCCGGGCAAGTTCTTATCGGAGTCCGGTTCGTTTTCAATGGCATGGATGATGCCTTCGAGCTGCAGATCAAGTCCTGGCCAGTAAATTTGGAAACCGGTAAGTTGGCGGAAGGAAATCCGTCCGATGTCGAATGGATTGGATGGGAAAATTCGAAGATGCGCTCGGAATGCTACAACAGGCCTAGGTAAGTTTTTTTTTGCGTTCAAGAGAAGATTTGACTGAATGTCGTGATTTATTACTCTAGAAGTACGATTGATCTGGAAGACGCCAATGAACCTTTGAGAACTAATAAATGGAATGAAGCTCTGTTAGTTCCGAATCTAAGACTTATGATACGAGCGACGAATTTTCAGAATGATTTGCACCAACACACGATTCCTTATTTGGACCTTCAACCTGTCACCTATTCTACGGCTAAGATTCCTCTGGGTGGGCTTCAGATATTTTACAAGAGAGTCAAAGGTTATGGAGGATTTTTGGCCTTCAGAATATTTGGTTTTGATTTTACTGAGGACTTTAGATGGAAGATGTCCACCAGTCAATTCAATAAATATCGACCTTTTTTTCACGAAAATTTGATCCTGCAAGAATCTTCTGAATAATTACATCTTATTGAGAAGAAATTAATTCATATGCTTCTAAAGAAATCTACTTAAAAATTATGTAATCAAAAATTTCAATCTCTATGAAATTGAGTATATTATATTATATTTAGAACGTTCATGAATAACACTTAACAAAAAAATTTCCTTAACTTAGCATCCATTTGTATTCATAAAAATGATCCTTCGAATTCGGGAACGTCCCAGAAACAATTATTAACTTTTGAACCGAGTATTGTGTATAAAAAGTGGGATTCAGAGCATCGAAGTTTCTCATGGACATGAGTCATGTATCGTAAACAGTATTATCCCATTGACAACTAAGCATCTAGCTACTTAATTTAACTCCATTCACTTTTGTCCGATAATTTCCCGAGAAAAAATATTTCTATATAATTATATATAATTGTATATGATCATATATAATTATATATGGAATCACATATATAATTATATAGAATTATATATGATCATATATAATTATATATAATCATACATGATTATATATGGAATTGTGTATGAGGTTATATATAATCATATATAATTATATATGACTATATATGGAGCGATATACAACCATGCAGGATTATATATAGTTCCATATACAAATATATATAAGTATATAAAATTATATATAATCATACATGATTATATATGGAATTGTATATGAGGTTATATATAATCATATATAATTATATATAATTCGTATATAATCTATACACAGCCATGCAAGATTATATATAATCATACATGATTATAAATGGAACTGTATATGAGGTCATATATAATCATATATAATTATATAGAATTATATATAATCATATATAATTACATATAATCATACATGATTATATATGAAATTGTATATGAGGTTATTTATAATCATATACAATTATATATGACTACTACTACCTAATAGTAAAATTATTATTTATTTTATTATTTAAATAAGTGTTATGTTATAATGAAATTCGGTAAGATAAATAAATTATGAATTATGACTATCAAATATATTATAAAATCAATTTTTTTATTATATTTATGATAAACTCATATGATACATTAAGTAGATCATAGAATCATTATTGTCTAAGACAGCAGCACAGCAGACAGAAACTTCAAGACGCACGGAGATCACCAAAGTTAAGCAGCATTGAGTAGGGTTAATAGTTGGATGGGTGACCGCTGGTGTTATAGCCATAAAATTAGATCTAGATATTTTTTTCGCATTTTGATCGGTTACACAGAATTGCGTAGGACCATATTAAATACTCTATCCATAAAATTAACCCAATAATTAATTAGATGTAGTAAATCTATAACTAAATATTGTTATATATAATTATATATAGTTATATATAATTATATATAATTAGATATGATTATATTTGGCCATTTTTCATAGATAATCATATATAACCAATTTATATATAAATATATATAATTATATATAAATATTTTTTCTCGGGTTATGAGCTCAGATGCTTCTTTCAAGAAAAATAGAAACTTAAATTCCAGAAATAAAGCGTAGAAGCAAGTCTATAATAACGTTTTTAGTCATTTATAATCAGAGAAATTTTCCAACAGTCAAATGTTTGAATAATTAGCTGAATAATAGCGTTAAAAGTATAAAAATACAGTTTTCGAAACTTTTTTGTAGTTACTCGAACTATGCATTAGTTCAAGTAACTATTGATAGATAGTTATATCGAATATATTGTAATAAATATTTTTCTATCATGTTAAACAAAAAATTATTAGACTGAAAGGTTGTTACGGACGATGTCTCAGATAGCTTAACTAACAGAGCTCTTAATGTGCAACCAAATGAAACCGGGTTCGATTCCCGGCCGGGGCTATCCAAATTATTTTTTCTCTTTTAATTAATTGCAATTTAATTAATCAAGATGACTATTAAGGAAATCCACGCGAAGTAGTGAATTTAAAAATTAATTCTAAGATGCATAACAAAAGTATTTCTACGTATTATTTTTTTATAGACTTTCTTTACACTAAGTAAGTACTTGAATCTTCTTAAGTAACTTCATTGAGGTTCAATACAATAAATAATTTTAGGTACAAGATCTTCAATTAAATAACATTGATTTAACTAAATTTTTTTTCTCAGCGTACAAACAAATAAAATAATTGACGTAACACTAAACCGTAAAATTTTTCCGAGTTTCTTTGTGTTTAATATCGTTAATAATTATTTCATTAGCACCTGGAAAGTCCACGCTTCGAACGATGACTCCAATATCATAAAATTCTTTCTATGTTTGTTTGTCCATTGACGTCAAAGCTTAAAAAAAAAAAAGAATAAACAGAACCAGGGAATCCCGACTTGGATATTTTTTTATGCATATATTATATATATCAGATAGATATACTCTCATGGGTCTATTCATTTGCAAAAGTGAGTTTATTTGCTTTCACCTATTCAAGTTCAGGCATTCCAAGGTCAGCGACATATAACAGTTCTTCGTTTTTTGCGACTATTTACAAATAAAATTTTATAATTGAACGATGAAGGAGTCACAAAAATTTTTGAAGGCCAATTTTTTTCGGAAAACTACCCAGATAAAAATAAAACGATATAGACATCAAAGACGTCACTATCATCATAAAAAGTATTATTAAACGTTTACTTTAAGACTAAGTGCATTAGCAATTCAGTTCAAGGTTATCAGTTTAGTTATTCGTCTAGTTTTTTATTCTTCCTATTAAGTTACTTGTCGCAAATGCTAAGTGCTATTTATTTTAATAACCATCGCGTCTTACGCAGACATTGACAATGAACTCTGATTAACTACTGTCCTTATTGGCGTAATTTTGCCAGTAGATAAATGGTTATTTAATCAATTAATAAGGAGACACGTGTTGGTTCTGTAATTAATTTTTATATTCACATTATATAAAAATATATAGTCTTTTGGTTTTTTTATTTTATTAATTGCAATTAAACGACACTGAGTTACATAGCCATCCGCGGTAGGGGGCCTGCAATTCCTTCAAAGAATTAAAAAAAAAACATTTCACTGAATTAATGGATTTTTTGGCAAGCTACAGTGTTTACAAGGTTCATATCCGTTTGACGGACGGGAAAATTTTTTAAACTATTTTGATGTTTTTTTCCGTTTCTATTGCACTAAATAATTTTTTTAAAAGTATGCAATTAATCTCCATTAAATAATCGAGACAATAGTATGCTAAATATCTTGATTTCGTTAACTAACAAGGGTATAATAATAAAAATAGTTGCCGAAATATGGGGCGAAAAAAATTTGTTCGATCGTAAACCACTCTCTGATGCTTCTTATCATCAGTCGTCCAAAATACCAACAACATTTTTTTTTTTTAAATATCAGGTTAGAATTTTTCTAAACTCTCAGTTACCAAAGGAGTTAATCATGTGGTAAATCCGAAAGAAGCCGAAGAAACCCGAGATAAAATTTATTAGAAGGACTCGCACGTAGTTCGTGGAAACACTCAAATTTTAACTAAATTTCAACATTGTCTTAGATAATTGAACTTCTAATTTTTGTTTAGAAAAGTTTCGAAACTAACAAGAGTATAATAATAAAAATCGTCGCCGAAATGAGGCGAAAAAAAATCTGTTCGATCGTAAAACACTCTCTGATGCTTCGCATCATGAATCTTGCAGAATATAATTTTTTGACCCAGCTTAGTATTATATTATTAAATTTTTCCACAGGTAATTATCAGAATTAACTATTATTCAATCTAAATAATTTTATTTTAGTGTTATAAAATCCAATAAAAATTAATTTTTTTTTTGTTTAGACTTAACGTGAATAATTTTAATATTACCGTAGATTTTTAATTTATTTATTTAATAAAAAGAATATATAAAAAAAAATAAAATTCATAGAAAATATTTTTTTTTTTAATTTAAAAAATTTACTTATTAGTCTTTTATTTATATTATAGATATTGCGATTTAAAATTTCTAAGATAGTCACGTACGTTTAAATATTTTCCATAGAAACATTTAATCTCAAGTGAAAGCGTAGTCAATCAGTTATAACCGCGGAAAGATAAGAAAAACCTTATAGATTTATATAAGTGTAAAAAAAATCAATTCTTATATTTTTACAAAAAAATTCAGTTTACACAGAAAGAAAAATTTCTTGACTTTTTATATTATTTTACCGTGCAATTATACATATTGAATGAAAAAAAATGATGAAATATTATTTGACCTTCCCAATTGACATGTTAAACAATAAAAATATTAATGAAAATTAACTTCTATCAAGAACTAAATTTTTTGGAGCTCGAGGCTGAATTTTCTCTTCACAACAAGATTTTGTTGACTTAAATAAATTTTCTTGTATCAAGATACGTATTTCTTAAGGGGGTATTCTGGTCTAGAAATTTGAAAAATTCGAATTATTTTTTTTCGCATATCTGCAAAGTTTAGACCCTTAAAAATATGTCCTTGAGTGGATTTTTAAAAATCCGAATTATTTTCGGAGATACCGAGGATTTTGTGACGCAGCTGCTTCTGCTTCTGCTTCTTCAATAGAAGGCAGAACAGCTCGATTAGCAGAAAGAACTTCGCAAAACATCGAGTAGGAAGTAGAAGAAGGCTCAATTTACGGATCTGGGATTCGCGATTAATCCAAAGTGAATATTAAATATTATTATGAGTTATTTTACTGAAATCGTTTCTAAAACTTTAAACGCGATTCTCTCGAAACTACTTTTTTTAAAGTGATTGACATGATATCTTAAGTTCTACCCCACCGATTCCTTTGAAATTTAGTGGGAATTTGTTTTATATATCTCTCTATCGCGTCAGCTATGGATTTCAAAAAATTTCAATTTAGAATATTTTTAAAAAATTCGAAAAGGTCATAAAAAAAGGTAAAAAAAAA